CACTCTCGCTCGCCGATTCCGAGCGAATGTTGAAGAAAAGCAAAGATTGTTACCCGAATTTTACTTCTCTATTATCATTCATTTTGTCTCATTATAATCAAATATATTTAAAAACGACTTATTGCTTCAGAGATGTAAGTAATATCTGCATCAGCTACACTATGAGTTTATTTGAATGCAAGCGTATGATGCTTGTATATAAAAATGATCAATTTTTTAGCTTTTTATATACACATCTTCCTGTATGTCGATATAAAGAGTGATTGAAAAATAACTCCCTATTTTATGTATGAATGGCCAGTCAGGAGTCCTGACTTAACACCCTGTGACTTTTTTCTTTGGGGTTAGTTAAAGGAGCAAGTCTACTAGACCAAACCAAGACTGGAACAACTTGAAGGGTGAATACAATAACATGGCTCCTATACCACAAGAGTTCCTGATGAAATCAGTTGACGCGATTTCTGGGTGTTTGAGAATCTTATAACGAAATCTGGTGCCCTTATCGAATTTTAAAATAAAACCTCATGCTAAACACTTTCCACCTATATCCATTTCTTGTAAAAATTATAGTCAATAAATAAATTATAAGTATTTTAAAATAGTGATTTACTATTCAAATACCTTGTATATATAGATATCTGTGCATGTGCGTGTCTGTGCACAAAAGGCCTTGGAAGTATCGATTTTTATCGGTGATTGATGACGCAAGCAATCACACGCTCTCGTTCGTCTTCTTTCGAAGTCTACGTTTAACTTCCTGCTCTTATCGCATATGACTACGCATGCAGGTTTCTACGCACGCGCACACAGTGACGTAGAGGCGAAGACAAAGTCACACTAAAATGACGCCAAACGCTGACCTAAATAATAAAGTCGGAGCTTCAAATGTAATTTATTCTGGGACTGACTGAATAATAAACATACAAAATGCCACCCCACAAATAACCGCTTTAATTTGACATGATTATCTGCCTCACTGTTACACCGTTATGTGACATTTTTTCTGATGCGCTTTCCTCTCTAGCTCCAAGTTGCATATTCGTAACAACTCCAACCCTTACTCTTCCTAATCTCTTCATCCTTATGTCTCTCTAACAACATCAAACCTTACTCTCCCTAATCGCTCCATCCTTTGCTCTCCTTACATCTTTAACCCTTACTCTCCCTAATCGCTCCATCCTTTGCTCTCCTTACATCTTTAACCCTTACTCTCCTTAATCGCTTCATTCTTTGCTCTCCCTAACATCTTTAGCCCTTACTCTCCCTAATCGCTTCATCCTTTGCTCTCCCTAACATCATCAACCGTTACTCTCCCTAATCGATTCATCCTTTACTCTCTTAACATCTTTAACCCTTACTCTCCCTTATTATTTCATCCTTTACTCTCCTGACATCATCAACCGTTACTCTCCCTGATCGATTCATCTTTTGTTCTCCCTAACATCTTTAACCCTTACTCTCCCTTATTATTTCATCCTTTACTCTCCTGACATCATTAACTCTTACTCTCCCTAATCGATTCATCCTTTGCTCTCCCTAACATATTTATCCTCTTCTCTCCTTAATATCTTCGCCTCTTACTCTCTGTAACATCTTGACCCTTCTCTTCCCCTAATATCTTCAACCCCCAAAATATTTCTTGGATACTTATCCCATTATTGTCGTCGCACTTCTCTCTTTCTTCCAGTTCGTCAGTACACAATTAAGTTTATGTTGACATCAATCGGCAAATATCATGTCACATTCTACAAAAAATATTTGCTCTTGAAACAATTAGCTCATGTTAAAAGCCTAGAACTTTCCTATCGGTATGAATCATGGTTTATCTTGTGTAGATAGGCAGATAGATAGATAGATATCAACAGACTCGAGATAGATAGATAGATAGATAGATAGATAGATAGATAGATAGATAGATAGATAGATATCAACACTCGCGATAGATAGATAGATATCAACAGTCGATATAGATAGATAGATAGATAGATAGATATCAACAGACTCGCGATAGATAGATAGATAGATAGATAGATAGATAGATAGATAGATATCAACAGACTCGCGATAGATAGATAGATAGATAGATAGATAGATAGATAGATAGATAGATAACAACAGTCGATATAGATAGATAGATATCAACAGACTCGCGATAGATAGATAGATAGATAGATAGATAGATAGATAGATATCAACAGTCGATATAGATAGATAGATAGATAGATAGATATCAACAGATAGATAGATAGATAGATAGATAGATAGATAGATAGATAGATAGATAGATATCAACAGACTCGCGATAGATAGATAGATAGATAGATAGATAGATAGATAGATAGATAGATAGATAGATATCAACAGATAGATAGATAGATAGATAGATAGATATCAACAGTCGAGATAGATAGATAGATAGATAGATATCAACAGTCGAGATAGATAGATAGATAGATAGATAGATAGATAGATAGAATGAATGAATGAATATCAACAGACTCGCGATAGATAGATAGATAGATAGATAGATATCAACACTCGCGATAGATAGATAGATATCAACAGTCGATATAGATAGATAGATAGATAGATAGATAGATATCAACAGATAGATAGATAGATAGATAGATAGATAGATAGATAGATAGATAGATAGATAGATATCAACAGTCGATATAGATAGATAGATAGATAGATATCAACAGATAGATAGATAGATAGATAGATAGATAGATAGATAGATATCAACAGTCGAGATAGATAGATAGATAGATAGATAGATAGATAGATAGATAGATAGATAGATAGATATCAACAGTCGAGATAGATAGATAGATAGATAGATAGATAGATGATAGATAGATATCAACAGACTCGCGATATAGATAGATAGATAGATAGATAGATAGAGATAGATAGATAGATAGATAGATGAGAATGAACAGACTGAAATAGATGAAGAGAGAAATAGAAAGAATGTTGATGAAACGTTTTGGTTATGACAGAGAAACCCTTGCAGCTCCTCAAATTTCTAATATTTTTTCATTTTGTCTAATTCTGGCACGTGGCTCAAGCAGAGAACAATTTTACAACCCTACATGCAACACATATATATATATATATATATATATATATATATATATATATATATATATATATAAGCTATTTCTAAAAATAATAAATTTTTAACAGCTGGTTTGAAAAATAAGATTTCTACAAAAGATGCAGCTTTTCAATTTCCATCTATTTAGATAGATAGATAGATAGATAGATAGATAGATAGATAGATAGATAGATAGATAGATATCAAGAGATAGATAGATAGATAGATAGATAGATAGATAGATAGATAGATAGATAGATATCATCACTCGCGATAGATAGATAGATATAGATAGATAGATAGATAGATAGATAGATAGATAGATAGATAGATAGATATCAACAGACTCTTTATCTGTCCTTTCATAAAAACAAAATAAAAGCAAACACAAACACTAGTAAGGCAGATAGTAGGCAAACTTAGGTAATACAAAGTAGTTTAATGAAAAGAGAAATTGTCTAGAAATAGATAGATTCATTACATTGACCTCCAAAGGTCAATTACGAAATCTGACGTCAAACGCCAATATTATAATAGCCATCTAAGGCAATAAAACTTTATTATTAGTTGATTTATAACTTCAACTGAAGTCTTAACATTGTTTTCTCACTAAAAGTTTTACTAGTTCTTCGGACAATATAACGTGTAGTTGGCAGCATAATAAAAACTACCAACCACAACTTACGGTTAGCAATTGATATTTTAAATAAGAACAGGCATTTTGACCGACACTCATATTATGACAGCGAAGGAAAGACGCTTTATAAATGACTAGATTTGAAATGTCTGAAGCGTGTGCTCATTTAAATATGCTTGGTTCGCCTCTGCTATTAAATTCGCACTTTGGGCTTATACTTTTGCTAACAACTATACATTATGTCTTCTTGCAGTTGAACAATTTCAGTTAACGCTTAACATTATAACCAAAAGAAAAATTATTCTTGTCTGTAAAGTTGCGCAAGAGGCTTAGTCGTCAGATATACCTGTCCTACATTTAAGCTATCTTTTCAGATAAAGTAGCCAAAGCAAGTAGACTCTGTTTTTTTTTGTCAAATTTCGTATGAAAGAGGAGTTCTTAATGCCTATCCAATATCGGTCCTCTTATACGGCAGAGAATGCTTAGATAATTCCTTCACAGATTAAGAGGAGGCTTAAAGTAACAGATGTGGTTCTGCAGAATGATGCTGTGAATATCATGGACGGGACATGTGAGCAATGAGATCTTGAGGAAAATAGGAACTAAAAGGACACTTCGAAAGAGTTGAACATTCTGAGACGCATAATGAGGAAAGGTAAAAGAGACAGAGGGGGAAACAACGAGTAACGTACCATATTATTAGTTGATTTATAACTTCAACTCAAGTCTTAACATTGTTTTAACACTAAAAGTACAATTGCGAATAAACTGGTTGTTGGTGCACGCAGATACAAGTGTATCAGAAAATGCCAAGCAAAAGTTAACTCAGCGTCATAATAAAAAAAAGAAGCTAAACACGAGTTATCTCGTGTTTGTTTTTTTTTTAAGTTTTATCAACATTTTGCAGGTTATTTAAAGCCAGGAAATATTGGAAGAATTATAATTATTATTGTAAGATAAGAATTATTTACTGATACAATTTCTACTAATAGCGATGGATTCATGCCTTTCCTAAAACTATGCGTGTAAGAGAATATAACGAACCCAACTGGAATTGGAACTCGGTTCTCCGATTTCCAATTTCGTGCCGTTATCAGTTACACCAACCACACATCCAAGCTTATATTAACTGGTATTTCAAAGCAGTCAGCCATCTAGGTACTGACTAGTCTAAGCGTTGCTTAACTTCGGTGATCGTATCAGAACTGGTGTTTCAAGTTAATATAGCCGTCAGTTCATTATACTATCCGCACACCCAAGCTTACAACACCTGGTATTCCCAAGCGGTCACCCATCTAGGTACTGACCAGTCTCGGCGATGCTTAACTTCGGTGATCGTATCAGAACCGGTGTTTCAAAGTGATATGGCTGTAAACCCATTATGCCATCGGCACATCCAAGTTTGCAGCACCTGGTATTCCCAAGCTGTCACCCATCTAGGTACTGACCAGTCTCGGCGTTGCTTAACTCCGGTGATCGTATCAGAACCAGTGTTTCAAAGTGATATGCCAAGTTATCACGTGGCTGGTAGTCGATGTTTTAAGGGCGATGTTCTGTGAAAGATTGAAAAACTAACCTTAACGTCTGCAAAGTAATTTCTTCAACCCCCCCCCCCCGCCGTACTTACAAAATGAAATCGCCTCATCAATATGTCCATTTGCAAATGCTGTACGAAATTTCAAATGACTCATCTTTAGGAAAAGATCAATGCATTTTCATAGCCACAATGGCAGACTTGCACGGCGTCTACAGTACAGAACAAACGTGTCCCCAGTAGTGTCAACACGGAACGTTGGGAATCGTCTATTTTCAGCTTGACTATGAGCACGCAACCTCGATCCAGACTTCCACTGACACCCCATTATCATAGTTCATAGTCCACGTCACATGGGAGATCGAATGACGTTATTCAATGGTGAATGCAGATTCTGCCCTCAATCAAGCGATAATATCTTGCGTGTACCGCGTAGACTTTGGGGTAGTAGTTAACACTACTAGAGTGCACCGACCCATGAAACACGGGCCCAACACTCATGCCATCATAGTCTGTCATAAATTCCAAATTTTATTCGCCTTTGTTGCTTATGGAAGAAATGAATAGGTTTTTTTTTATCATTTCCCTTCAAGCAAAGCAATAAAACCACGGAGATGCAAGGGGTTGCTGAGTGTGAAAGAATACGAGAAAAATAAAACATTATTGAGAAGAGAAAATAATACAGAAGACAATAACTGACTAGAAAGATGAGAGTTCCACAAGCCAGAAGTGCGAGAGAAGAAACTGTTTACATAGAACTTACGGTTACATGTAGACATTTCAGGTATAATATGATGAGACCTTACCGACAATCTTGGACTGTGCCTAAATTTATAGAGTCTAGGTACCACAGAGGAAAGTTCGTCAGAAAAATTATCACGAAAGTATTTATAGAAAAGGTACGAGGAAGCTAATTGACAGAAGACGAGATGCCAGGACAGGAATAATAACATTGCAGATTATTCTTTGGATTTAAATATATAGAAGGAGTACCAGCCATATATGGTAGCAATATACAAAAGCAGGTTAACATCAGCCATATTGATGGAAAGCAAAAAGTGTTTTCCCACACACACACACACACACACACACACACACACACACACACACACACACACACACACACACATATATATATATATATATATATATATATATATATATATATATAGTTGGATTGGTGTGAATGTATAATATATAAATAATATAAATAAAAATTGCATATATATATATATATATATAGCGTATTGTAACAGCAGATACTTATTCAAATATATATTATTAAATATAACAGACAACAAATTATTATGTTTGATCATGAGTCGTTCGAAACATCGTATAGTGACTTTAGTTTCGAGAGAAAATAACGACGAAAATTGTGCGGCATTTGGATATTTTTTTATTATGCCGTTCCTTGATTTAAGATTTCATGTCCATATAACCACTCTGAAGATGGCTCATGAGAGCCGAAAACTTAGACCAAGGAAAAGCATAATAAAAAATATCCAAATATTGGATATTTTTCTCTTTATTTTCTCCCGAAATTAAAGAAAATATATGAAGTTTAGAACCGCTCATGATCAAACATAATAGACATTCGTTGTCTGTTATATTTAACAATATATATATATATATATATATATATATATATATATATATATATATATGAGTCAGAATACTCTTCATCTCGTTCTGCTGTGATTCGAGTAACAGGAAGACGATGTGCTCTTCCAGTAGGATAATGCCACCCACATGGTGCCTATGCTACTCCACATATTCTTCAAGAAGTTCAACAACTTCCCTAGCCTACACGATCACTGGACCTGTCCCCACTGTACATATATAGGACCCGATGGGATGACACTCGTTCAGTATGACCACCTAGAATTCTTGCTGCAATGCATTAAAAGAGGTAAGATGCGTAGAATCAGAGACATTGGATGGTATTCACCATTGACTCCCGTTGAAGATATGGGTAATGTTGATATTGTGCACATTATCTGTATATTGCTATCTTTTATATTAACTATAGGTTTAATCTTTGAGTAAACACGTATTCAGGATGTTATAATTTCATTTTTCATCTGTCTTTTTATTTCAGTAAGGTTCACCATTTACAAGGCCCACTCGAGATATAGTGTTACGTTAGGGGGCCGATTGTGTGTAAAGGACTGGAAGATAACAGTTAACCCTAGCCTTGAACAGGTTAAGACTGCAGTAATCGGGGAAACATCCTGTTGGAAGCTGCTCGAGTGAAACGTACTTCTCACCGATAGAATACGGAGGGAATGTAGGCGGTTTGCTACTATGTAAGTGGCATGGCGGGTTCTTGCCATGAAGCTTTGACTTGGCGGAACCAGAGAATGTAGTTCGTCTGAGCACTTTCCGTTGAAGTAGCAGTAGAGCAGCGAAATACTTGCCATCTGTGGGAGAGAGATTAGAGTGGAGAGAATAATTCATTACCCACAAGTGCTTGGGTTCTATCAAGGATGGAGAGTGAAGTCTGGGTAGCTCCCTCTAAAATATGTCAACAGTATTCCATATTTGACCCTTGACCCTGACCCTTGTAAAGGTAGGGGTTAGCAAGAAGTATCAGGTACTTACTGGAGGCTTTTTTTGCCATTTCACCTAAAGCAAGGCGATATTGCTAATGCCACTAGCATGCAAGGGATTACTGGAAGAAAAAGACAATGAGATGAGTTTATTTAGGAGAATACAGGACAATAAAAGAACAGGTTTCAGGAAAACAGTTGACGACGATTGGCGTTACAGTTAATTTTTTGAATATTGTACGTGGTGGGGAAACAAGAAATCGGAAAGGGGTTATACAGGCGAGAAGTATGGGAAAATAAACTATTAGAATGTACCATACGGTTGCATCTAGCTAGTTCAACAGTAAAACGGTGAGACCTAATTGCCAATCTAGTAGCACGTTTAAATTCATGTAGTTAGGACACCAAGGAAAAAAGCTCTTCAGAATAGTTGCCATGAATTTTTTTTTTAATTTAAAAGAGAGATGGAAGCCACGTCACACGGAGAGAAAGTGACTGAAGTCGAGATGGCAAGTCAAGATCAATTACATTACAGTCCCGTCTTTGAATTTGGTCAAGAATCTGCAGATTTATAGTAGAAGCCCCAGATCAAATATTCAATGTACAGACGAATGGTACTTGTATAAATGTGCAAGATGGATTCTGCTGAGTAAGATTTTCTGGCAAAAACACAATGAACCAACTTCCCTTGTATTAGACGAAACATTTGATTCGATATACGAGGCTAAACCAAAAAGTATTTGCACTTTCACCATGACTTATCTTGAGGCTTATCACACTGCATTCTAGAAGAGAGTTCCACAGACGAGAAGTAGAAGAAAAGAAACTACTAGAATAGAACTTAGGCCTACATTTAGCTATTTTATCAGTAAAATGAAACCTAGTTGTCAATCTAGTAGTACACTCAAATTGTACACTATATTGCAAGAACACCAGACTAGATGGGGCATATATTCAATGTACGGACGAATGGTAGATTTATAAATGTGAAAGATGGATTCTGATGAGAAAGATTTCTGGCACAACACAGTGAACCAACTTTCCTAGCAGTAAAGATAGCAATTGATTCAATATACACGCTTGACTTCATGACAGTGAAAAAAAACGTAAGCCAAAGAAGGCGCAAAGTGCTACTCTTCTGAAGGTTAGCATCAGCTATGCTGATGGGAAGCAGAAAAGTTTTTCTCTTGGAATTAAATGAAAGTTTTGTTTTGGAATTGTTGACATTTATAAACCATTCTTTGTTTCAATTACCCACTGATCGGAAGTCCTTTTCGAGAGAAATGGCCAGTTTTACTTTGTAAGATCTTTCGGATTATTTGCGATGTTTACTAAAACATGTTAGTTTGTTTACTTCATGTCTTTTGCTAATGTTGTAATATTCTGCATCATTTATATTCGTGACACCAGCTTTTTTTTAAAATATGTTCTTGCTCGTCAAATAACTTCTCTAGATCATTAACCTTTTAATTTCTCTATCTCTTTTAGTGACATTCTTAAAACCCATTTTGTTTTTGTTCTTATTTTATCAAAGTGTTCAGTTTCTTTTTTTCAGCTTGTTTTATTATCTTTTTTCCAACTGCTTCGCACTTTCCAACATTGTGTTCCATTAGTCAGTAAGTTAACAATACAGGATTTTACTATGCAAACATTGGCTTTCATAATAAAGTCTGACATATTTATAATGGGTTGACGTTCTGGCATTAATTTGCTTTCACAATAAACCTACTACAAAAATCCATTAGCTTACTATGTAAACATACAAGAGGGCCCTCACTTAGCTATCCATCGAACAGCCAATGACTACCCCACGTTGCGTCTCGTTCACGTCGGTTTTCAACGAGAACTGGGCGAGACCCGCTAGAGTTTCACAAAGTCACGAAAGATGAAAACAAATGCTACGCCGAGAAACGAGAACACGGACCCAGTTTTCTAATATATTTACGTGCTTTTCTTCAGGACTTCGCTTGCTCAGTCAGGGTGGGTAGATGGGTGACACTTGGGACTTATACTATGTTGGATTAAGAGCTCAGCTCTTACCCCTTACCAACTCTCTGCCTCCTTACGCATCACGATTGGTCGCTGGTAATACGAACGGGCAGCAGAGAGAACTAATCGATGAACAATCTGCCTCCTGCCGAGATCAGACCAGAACTCACTTCCTCGATTCTAACAGTGACTTTTAATATAAGCCAGCAACCGAAAATAATCAATGTCCGGTTTTGGTGTCGCGTGACCCCAAATATATATATATATATATATATATATATATATATATATATACTTA